AAAAAAAAAAAAAAAAAAAAAAAAAAAAAAATTCCTCCCAAATACCCTGTGTTCCTGCCAGCGTTCAGCCCCCCAGCAAAATGCACCAGAGGCAGTGGCTGGCATTCAACAAGCGTTCATGCACCCTGGCTCAGTTGCCCAAGGCTCGGCCTTACACTGACCTTCCTCCCTTCCTCTCTACCTCCCAGAAAATGGTTTCACCTCGGCGACATCTCTTCCTGCATCACTTCTGAATCCCTGTCTCCCATTTAGCTCCATGACCCCAGTTAGAACCAGTATTCCGTGCTTGTCACACCTCTTCCACCTTCATCTTCCTCTGACCCTCTTGGTTCATGCTGGGCTCCTTCCCCGACCGCTTCCAACACCCACAGAGAGTCCTGCACAACCTCCAACTCTAAACCCACCGTCGTCCCTGCCGAGGAGCTGGGCAGGGGTGGTTCTGCTTGGTGCCAGGGCTCCAGCACCCAGGAGACTTCAGCTGGGTGCAAGAGGAGGTTGCAGGAGGGACACGTTGCCTTGCCAGGCATCACGCCCAGTCCCAGAGCCACGTCTCCTTACGCTGCCACTAGCAGAGGCAGCGCTGCCCCTTCCTTAGCTTTTCAATTGAAAAGCAAAATGCTTTGAAGCCAATATTCAATCCAGAGTTTTCAAAATCGTTTTTCTAGAAAAGCCGTGCCAGCAAAGCAGAGCAGGAGCTGAAGCGCTCTCGCGTTAGTGACGTCCGCACGCAAACAAACCCCGTCAGACTGGAGGGTTTGCAAAAGTTTAGGCATGACAAAACACAAAGACGTCTTTAGCATAGCAGAGATGCTCTTGGCATGCATGAGGGCAAAAGGATCTTGCGCGGATTCACGTGTAGGTGACTGAGACCCAGGAACCTGCATGACTCCCAACACATCCCAAACACATGCTCCCTCCTCACATGCACGTCCGGTGACTGGAAGCGAGCAGACATATTTTAGTGAAATTTTCCAAATATTTGTTTCGAACATCAGCCCGATGAAACTGCCCGTCACGTGCCCGGATGACAGCACCCAAGGGCTCAGTTTCAGCTCTTACACTGATTCAGCACCAGCCGCTGCTGAGTAAATCCCTTAGCATCTTCATCCGTCGCGGTCTGCATTTGTCAAGCAGATACGAGGACGCATTTTTTGGCTCCCTTGCAAGGTTGCAGGGAGGACAAATTCATCAGTATTCATAGAAGCCCTTTGATTATCCGCAGGCTAAACAATTAGGAGTCAAAACAAAGGTAGTTATCACAAATCATAAGGCAAAGAGTAAATACCAGGAGACACGTATAGCTAAAAAGTATGGGTTTGGGTTAGTAAACAGGGAACTTCAAATGGTCAGTGGCTGTCTCACTTCCAGGAGGAGGGTGTCTAGGACTATAAAAGGTCTCCTGTCCCAGCTCACTTCATTCGCTCATCTTCTCTTCCCTTCACCTCTCCTCAGTCTTCAACAGGGTAAGTGAGAACATCTAAATCTTCCTTTCTTTTACCTGAAGTAAAATGCTGTGGGTATCTCCTAACAGTACGCAGATATAACTCGGTATCTGGACGGGGACTTTGCCTGAAGTTGGGCTTTTTAGGAACTGGGTGCTATGAATTGTGGGGACGAGCTAGGAGCGCTGAAGGACGGAGAGGCTACGGGAGTATCAGCAGAGCCATGAAGGGGACAGCGAGCGTTTCAGGAGGGCCCAGACCTGGGACCATGTGCGCTGTGCTGGGAGGTTCTTGCTGAGGCGTTAGGGATGTCCTGGTGAGCATCAAGATTGTAGGAAAACGAGCAGAATTTCAAGCAAGATTTACTAACAAATAAGGTAGAACTCATTCGCAGCTCCTTGAATCTCCAAATTTAGCATAAACAGAGCTTTGGGTTAATGATTTATTTCCAAATATCCTGCTCACAGACAGACTCTCTCTGTTCCTTCCAGCTTCGCCTACACTACTACCAACATGTCCGGAGGCTGCTGCGGATGCGGTGGGAATAGCTACGTTGTGTGCTGCACCAGCAGCCCCAAGTGCTGCAAGACGCCGATGTGCTGCCAGCCCATGCAGTGCTGCTACCCCACCTCCTGCTGCATGCCCCTGCAGACCTGCTGCTACACCATGAACAACAACAGCGGCTGCTGCGGCGGTAGCGGCGGCGGCTGCTGTGGCAACTAAAGCCCCTCGGCGAAGGGCCGGCAGGGCGGCGCTGCTTGCTGCTTCCCTCCCGGTTCCTCGGCGTTGATACGGATATGGATACAGACACCTCCCTGAACACTCTTCCTCATTTATTTAGAGACTGTCAATCTTCTCTCCTTTGCCTGCCTTTGTTCACCAAATGCTTGTAACGCGCTCTGAGGCTGCTACACGCTGATCGGTGTGATTTTCCTCTGTAAGCCTTACTCGTGCTGTTAACTTTCCTCTCGGTGTGTGGGATGTTTAATGCTGTTGATGTATCATACTCTCTTTTCTCACTTTCATCTCCAATTAGTCACGAAAGACAATAAAATGTCTGAGTTATGACGCTGCAAACTTCTGGTATACGTTTGTTCATTTATCTTTGTCTTAAGCTATAGCTCCGGCCTGGGATTGCTTCAGCATCTGCTTCGTTTCTGAATATAATTAATTTTTCAACTATTTATCATGATACTGACGACAGCGCCCCAGCAAATGCGGCAAAATTCTTGGGTCAGTCTCTCGTCCAGGGAAAAAATAGTGCTTGCTAGTGTCAGTACATTCTCTACTCTGCAGGAGCATCCTCTTGGCGAGGCAGTTTCATGCTGTCTTTCCCCTGCTTATGACTTTGAAGACACACAGCCTGTGACTGAAGCGTCTGTAGGATCCTAAAGCCAGAGCTAAAGATCTTTTTTTTTGTTAGTAGAAATATTTCCAGCCAGTTTGCTGAGCCTTAAAGCAGGGTTCTTATAAAGGTTTGATGTCACTAAGGCTAAACAGATCAGAAAACATGGTCTACACGGCGCAGGGAGGGGAGGGAGACATTAAAAAATGTGGAGATAGAAGTCTAGCCTGAAGGATTCCGAAGTACTATCTAGTTTCATCTGAAATTCTATTCAAACGTGGCAAATTTGAAGAGATAAGGTTCAGAAATGAGCTCTTCGCGCTTTGTGATTTGTAAAATTCTCAGGAAGCGACTCCAAAATATCTCTTCTAATATATAAAAATAATAAAATAAAATAAAATAAAAATAATCGCGGGACTGCCGCAATGAGTTCTAAATCTAAAATCCTTGTTTGTCCTTAACAGATACCAAGGTCTTTTCCCTCCTTTACATCCAAGTCCCGTGGCTTCCTGCAAGGCAATTACATTTTTTCCTGTAGGTAAAGAATAAATTATCTCAGCTGCAGCAAAGTCGTCGGGTCCAAGCACGCGCCCTGGTGTCACACCCCTGAATTCTGCACATGCTTTTCCCAGTGATTCAAACCCGAATGGCACCAGACAAACCTCTGAGCATCCCTTACCGAGACTTTACGGTGGAGAGAGAGAGAGCGTGGAAATACCTTTTGCTCCGACAGCCCTGGGGCTGCTGTGAGAGATACTTTGCTGGTGCTTAAAAAATGCCTCGGCCGTCCGCAGAAATGCAAAGTGGAGCAGCTACACGGCAAATGAGTCAAAGCAGAAATGTCAGAACGGTGGATACGGCGCCTGACGAAGTCTGAAATTGTTAGTTCGTGAGGTCAGCGCTCCTCTGTGGCGGCGGCGTTCCAGATTCGCCGCGCATAAAAAGGGCTTTTGGTGTTGTACCCACTCACTCGACCGAGGGGTTCCTCACTTGGAAGAGAATTAATTCAGTTAAATAGGAGGATGCACATCCCATCCACAGCGTGACCCAGTCCACCCCGCGCCCTGGCGTGCTGGTGTCTACTGGGATCCTGTACTCGGAGCTCACGTCTTCCAGTCACGAGTACTACACACAGGGCAACAAGACCTTCACCCTCGACTCCCTCATCTCTCCAGCTGTCAGGTCCCTCTGTGCGCTGGAAGGTGATGGGCGCCCTGTCCAGATATCACAGACCTTCTCTGACCAGCAAGGGCCAACCTGCAGCCCTACCGCAAAAGCAGCCGGAAAAACTTCCCTTGTTTTCTCACAGAAAATTCCATCTTTCCACGAGCAAATCGAAAGCCAAAGGAGTTTCAGATGGAAGATTATGAAAGTAAAAAAAAAAAAAAAAAAACCACACCACAAAACCTGTCTCTT